TGGGTCCTTTGACACCGACCAAAGGTAGGGGCCTATCGCATCCAAAGTATTTCAGACTCCTATATAAAGGAATGAGGTTGAAACACTTTGGAGGGGGTATCTGTAGGCGTCTAGAAATACCTATAGGTTCCCGTATACAACTTGAGACGAAGGGGAGACAATAAACATTATCATCCAAGTCGAGAAGATTTATCCGAATGGCTCGCATACTCACTGGTCACCGCCAAGTGACCCGTACGCTCATCGGCCATCGGAATGGCGAATCAAATGTCTCGTACGCTCATCGGCCACCGGAATGGAAAATCGAGCATCTCGTATGCTTATTAGCCACCAGAATGACGAACCAAGCATCCCATGTTCTCACTGGCCACCTCTAATTAGCCTGTGCACTCATCAGCCACCGCCAAGTGGCCCGTACGCTCATCAGCCACCGGAATGGCAAACCAAGTGGTCTGCATGCCCGTCAGCCATCGTCAAGCGATCCGTGCGTTCATGAAACACACAAAGCAAATCAAGGAAGTGTACCAGTCAGCAAAACCACGAAATACGTGTAAACAACGCAACAAGTTAAAAAACTAGAAAACCAGAATAGTCACTGGCGGCCGAGTCACCAGATAGTGGCTCGTGCACAGGTCTGATCTGGAAACACGTTTTGGCGGTTTCGACGGGTTTTCACGGGATTTATTCTGTTTTAGAGGTTCCTAACTGCCCAAATCTTATCTTTAAACATAGTTATACAGTTGTTAACTGACGATAAGACGGAATCCATCGTTCTTATCCAAAAACCCCCCAACTGAATCCTGTAAATACAAGATTTGGGGCTCATTTCTAGAGGGCTGGAAATCAAGAGGGCGAAGTGCTGTCGAATTGGAGAGTAGAGCACGAATTTCAGAGAGTTAGTAGATCTTAGCGAAGTTTCTCCATAAACAAAGTGAGAGTTCGAGAGATCTGAAACTTGTTCCTCCTATTCCTCCGGATTTAAGCTTAGTCTTAATCCCGAGAAGACACGTGATCTCGCTTGGTCAAGATTATCGCTGCCGTGATTACTTCCTTTGTGAAGTAAGAGCATTGTTTATCAATCTTTTGCTCACCAGATCTGATCCGTAAGCGGTCCACGGATAAACCCCAGCACCAGCAACGATCTCGCACAAGCAATAGGCGATAAACATCTATTGTGTGTAGTTTGAGAGAAAGTTGTAATTGTTGATTAAAAGTCTTATAAAAGGCTATTTTCTTGAGTTTATTGTAAATGTTTGAAGTTGTAAATGAACTTATCAATGAAATCGACTTTCCACCCAAACAATAAGACTGAGGTTGTCATACACGATATATACTATGCGAGATTCATTTACTGGACTATTTTGTGACTGCACCACCTACCTGAGCGTAGTGTGAGGTATGTTTGACATGACTTGTATTAGATGAGGTTTATTAATAAATTTGTTCTCTTATTTATTAGTTTATTCATAGGATTTGGAGTTGGTATTTAGAAATTCATAATTTGAGATACGAGGTATATACATGAGGGTTTCCTTGTTTGGATTATTTCGCTTGACGTACCCATTCTTGTGTTGTGGATTTCTAAATATCAATTTCCTTTTAGTTTAGGATAGATGATTAATATATCTATATGTATTAACTCGTATTTTTATACTCCTAAACCCCTTCTCCCTGGGGGCGGTGGAGATGTTCTTGCTAGCGTTTTGACGCTCGTTATTTCCTCTCTTTTTAGACATCGAGTCAGGCATCCAGAGAGTTGCAGGTTGACGAAGATTCAGCTTAGTTTCTGTCATTTATTATTAGTAGTTATTTATGCTGCACAAAATTTATTATTATTTTTCAGACATTAGAGTTGTATTTCGGAAGGCTGAGTGCCTTAGTACTATTTCAGTTGACTCTTACGTATTGAGATATTTCATCTATGTTTCGAACATCTGTTGTCCTTTATTTATTTCAGTTGGAACATGATTATTATTATTTTGATATCTCTTTACTTTATCATGTTCATTGCATTCTTATCTTTATTTTATCTGCTTTGTATCTACACTTGATTATTGTTGATTGCACTAGAGAGATATTACTTTGATGGTGAAACGTGTCTTTGCACGGTGTGGGTGCATGGCATGTTTGATATCTTTGGGATCACCTTGGACTATAACATTGTGTGAAACCAGAGGCGTCACATGTAAATTGTTTATAGACTATTTATAATTCCAATGCTTTCAATTTACTAATGAATTTGAAATTTTCAGGGTACTTTTTGTAGAATTTGAATTTTAAACGTTGGTTTGTAATTTTTAAAACTTTAAGGGTGTTTTCTATAAATTATAAATTATGTAGGGGATATTTATAATTATTATATTTTTAATGTACTATTAGGTCAGAAATTATCAAGTTTATTGTAAAATTTATAATTTTGAGAGTTTTATTTTGCAATTTGTAAAAAGTTCAGAGTATGTATTGTAAATTTTATAAATTTTTGGGGGTTATTTGTGTTATTTGTAGGTTTTTAGTATGTTTATAGGTTTGAAATTTTTAAGGTATTTTTTATAAATTTTGAATTTTAGGGGTATTTTTTTAATTTTTAAAACTTATAATATATCTTCTCCAAAGTCAAAAAATATTCAGTTTCTAGTTAGCATATATTTTTTCAGATTTCTTACTGAATTGATATAAGTAAAATTTATAATTTTTAAGATGCTTTAATAAAATTTTGAATTTGTAGGGGCATTTTTACAATTTAAAAAACTTAGAGAATATTTTTTACAAAGTCTAAAAACTTGTATGTGCAGGCTAGCATATGTTTTTTAGATTTCTCTACGAACTGAATTAAGTAAAGGATTTTAATTACATGAAATGTATCTATTTTATCCAATAACATGTTAAGTCTCATTATGAATAGAATAAATCATTTGGTTACCAATTCAAAAAAGATAGGATAATTAGAATAGATTAGGATAACAATGTAATATTTAAAAAAACTAAGGGTAATATTGACCATAGAAAGATTTTCTCGAATTCGTACTTTTAAAGGGAGTATGATTTTTTTGTGTAAATTAAACTTTGTATGTTTTTCCTATATGTGTATATTTATTCTACTCCGTGTGTTCCTCACGTTTGTGTAACTGACTATATTGAGCAAACACGTGCGTTGTTGCACGTACCCTCCTCACTAGTGACTAATTTTTTTTTGAGAGAAAGTTTTTTAAACTTTGTCAATTATCTTTTACAAGCAATATACCCCCGTCACTTAAAATTTGAATCCCCCCTCCCCTCTCTAAATGAAAATTTAGCTATTTATAAATTATATTTAGTGGGATATAGTAAGAAAAGTTTACAGTTCAAGGTGGGTTTTGTGAGACACCCAAAAATTCAACTGGTTATTATGAGATAAATAAAATTAAGTAGGGGTTTATGTGCAGCACTTCCATAGGTTAGGGGCTTATGTGAAAGTAACCCTATCTAAAGCACTTCCGTAGGTTAGTCGGTTATGTGAAAGAAACCCTATCTAAAGGCTAATTAGAGCTCAATTACCTTAGGGTCTGTTTGGATTTGTAGGGGGTGAAGAGAAGTTAGGGGAAACTGAGAGAAGGGAAGGGAAGGGAAGGGAAGGGAGTTCCATTCCCCTTGGTTACACCCCAATTTGAGGGGTAACAAATTTTATACTATTAGGGGATGAACCAAGGGAAACTAGGGTGAATAACTTCACCTCCTAAATGTTTCCAAATAAGATGAACGGAGGTGAATGGTTCCTCTAACTTCCCTTCACCCTTATTCCCCTCAATCCAAACAAGCCTTATATACTCCTCATTTGTTTTTGAAAGCACTTATATACCCTAATTTTTTTAGAATTTGCACTTTAATATCCTCTATTATTATTATTATTTGGTTTGATAAGGATGCTTTCCTATGATCAGTCGGACC